TTATGTCTTTTCCTCAGAATAACTTAGACTGTAGAAATGCTTCCATATGCTAAAGTTGGACATGCTGTTGTAACGAGAAAGAAAAAGAGATGTCTTTTAGTGGGTAGTTTTCATAGACATGCTAAACTACGATATGCACAAATTAGTAATGCTGTCCCTTAAGCATTTACCACAAATGGTTTTCTAATTCTTTCTGCTGCTCTCTGTTAGAGAGTGGGAGCGGATTTTACCACAAAACAATGGGTCAGCAGGAATTCAATTATGATTTATCTAAGTAATGAAAACAATTGATAGCAATCATAATTCTTATGTTTTAATGAAATAATATACTTTTTTTTCCTCAAATCCTCTGTGTTCCTTAAAGTCCCAGGAGGAGACAATTTTCAACTTCAAATTCCAAAACACGTCTACTTGCATTTAACTCCTCCCTATCCTGACTTAGAGCAGTGGTCAGCAAACTGGCCCAAGAGACAAATCCAGCCACTACTTATTTTTGTAAATAAAGTTTTAGTGGAACACAGCCATGCCCATTCATTTAAGCATTGCCTATGGCTGCCTTTGTGCTACAAAAGCAGAGCTGAGTAGTTGTGACAGAGACTTTGTAGCCCAGAAAGCCTAAAACATTCAAAACTGGCCCTTTATAGAAAAAGATTTTCAACTCCTTTATTTTGTTGTTGTTGTGAGGAAGATTAACCCTGAGCTAACATCTGTGCCAGTCTTCCGCCACTTTGTACACGGGATGCCTCCACAGCATGGTTGACAAGTGGAGTAGGTCCGCACCTGGGACCGAACCCAGAAACCAGGCCGCCAAAGTGGAGCGTGCCGAACTTTAACCACTCAGCCAGGGGGCGGCCCCTCGGCTTCTTTTTAATAAGTATCTCCTTACTTCTTATGTGGCAGAAATAAATGGATGATGCTCCTGCCAGTATTGCTTCTGCCGCCAGGATTTTGAGGATATAACCAGGCAGGATGACAACCATGGCTCCACAAACTCCAATGAAACATCAAGAAGAAATCCACCCGCCAAGAAAGCACTGAATCCTTTCTTCTCCGGGGCGAGTGACAATGACCCTGGCAGCTGAAATCCACAGAATTATATTTCAGGATAGTCCTAAAATTACATTCTCCAAGTAAAAGAATCCACAAATGATTCCAAAAAAACTTTTTTTAATCTTTCTACTGCAGAGTTCTTAAAAATATTTTGACGAGAAGGTACAGTATACCAAGGTGTGATATATTTTGCTTAATTTTTAAATTTAATATCCTAAAGAAACTCATAACCCTTTTTTCTTTTGATTTCTCAGAACAAACACTTTCAGAAACATGAGGGCAATATTTACTTGTGAACCTTTTGCTCAGGCTATATTTATATTGTCCAGGGTAACTTGAAAAATTAACAGATAGCAAAGTAAATTGATCATTTATAAAATATTTTCAGCTATGATGGTCTATTTGAATAACAACAACAAAAAAGAACACTGGTAGATTGATTCAACTATTAGGATTAACAACCCTGGCAATTCCAAACAATAATGAATAATATAACTTAATAATGAAAATAGACAGTCGTCTTAGTCCATTCTGGCTGCTGTAACAACAATATCAGACTAGGCAGCTTATGAAGAACATAAATTTATTTTTCACAGTTCTGGAGGCTGGGATGTCCGAGATTAAGGAGCCAGAGGATTTGGTGTCTGGGGAGAGCCCATTTCCTGGTTCATAGACAATAGCCTTCTTGCTCTGTCTTCAAATAGCAGAGGGGCAAGAGATCTCTCTGGGATCTCTTTTATAAGGGCACCAATCCCCTCATGACCTAACACCTCCCAAAAGCCCCACCTCCAAATACCACCACACTGGGGATTATGTTCCAATATATGAATTTCAGGGGATACATTCAGTCTATAGCTTTCCACCCCTGACCCCCCAAAATTCATGTCCTTCTTGCATGCAAAATACATTCATTCCACCCCAATAGCCCCAAAAGTCTTAACCGGCTCCAGCATCAACTTTAAAGTCTAGGTCCAAAGTCTCATCTAAATCTCATCTACATCAGATATGGTGAGACTGATTCATACTGAGGCAAACTGCTCTCCCGCTGTGAACCCATGGAATCAAACACGTTATGCGCTTCCAAGATACAATGGGGAGACAGGCACAGGACAGATATTCCCATTCCAAATGCGACAAAGAGGAAAGAAGAAAAGAGTGAAAGGTCCCAAGGAAGTCCAAACCCCAATGGGGCAAATTTCCCTAGACGTTACAGCTCAAGAATAATCTTCCTTGACTGAGTGTTCCGCCCCCCTGCCCACAGCTTTGCTGGGCAAGGGGTGGGGCCCCAAGGCTCCAGGCTGCCCTGCCCCCAGAGCTTTAGACAGCCCTGTCCCCACTGCAGCTCTCTGGGTTGGGGGTTCCAGGACCACAACCCTGCTGGGAGGTCATGTCCTTTGCAATCTAGGTGGAGGCAGCCATGCCCCCACAGCTCTGCTGGGCACAGCCCGTGCCTCCCTGGGCCAAATGCAGCAGCAACTGGACAGCCAAGGAGCTCAGTACCAGAGTGCAGAGAGTGGAGACCACCAAGTGAGGTGACACCAGAGGTGAGCCAAGGTCAGAAGGCCCAGCAGCCCCTCCTCTGCATCCTTCCATTGTCTTGGACAATAGCTCCCAGCTTCTGTCAAGATGGCTGACTAATCTCCTTATCAAATGGTCTCTCAGCCACACCCTTAATGTTCTTCCCAGAACAAGATTTCTCTATCTTTTCAACGTGGATACACTGAGAATTTTCCAAACCTTTAAGTCATTTCTCTCTTCCCACATTTTACTACAAGCATCAAGAGAAACAAGGCCACTCCTTCAACACTTTGGTTAGAAATTGCTTCAGCTAAATACCTAATTTCATTGGTTGCAAGTTCTACCTTCCAGAAAACACTAGAACACGAACACAATTCAGCCAAGTTCTTTGGCACTTTACAACAGGCACGGCCATTCCTCCAGTTTCCAGTAACATATTCCTCATTTCCATCTGAGACCACCTCAGAATGGCATTTAACATCCATATTTCTACCAACTTTCTGTTCTCTAAGTACACAGGCTCTCTCTACAGCTTCTCCTCTTTTCTTTCTGAGCCCTCACCAGAATTGCCTTTAAAGTCCATTCACGGCAATGTATGCTTTTTCAAGCATGCATCTAAAAACTCTTCCAGCCTCTACCCTTTACCCAGTTCTGAAGCCACTTCTACATTTGTTCCAGCAGCAATCCCACTTCTCAGTGCCAATTTTTGTCTTAGTAAGTTTGGGCTGCTAAAACAAAGTACCACAGACTGAGTGGCTTGTAAACAACAGAAATTTATTTCTCACAGTTCTGGACGCTGGAAGTCCGAGACCAGGATGCCAGTATAGTGCCGTCTTCTGGGTTGCAGACTTCTGGTAAGCTCACATGGCAGAGCAGCAAGCTCTCTCACGACTCTGTTGAGAGCACTAATCCCATTCATGAGGGCTCCACTCCCACGACCTAATCACCCCCCAAAGATCCCACCTCCAAAAACCATCACATGGGGGATTAGGTTTCAACCTATGAATTTGGGGGGACACAGACACTCAATCTACAGTAGTTGTCCTCTGATTCTCAAAATTATGAATAGGGATGATGCAGTGGAGTGAAGGGGTGTACATTTCCAAGTGACTCCAACAAAATGATGCTTAGACCTCCCAGGTTTTCCATTCATTCAGTTAGTCATTCAACAAGTAGTTTATTGAGCACCTACAACATGCAGGCTGTATTCCAGGAGCTGGGAACATGGCAGTGAACAAGACAGGTAAGATTCTACTTTCATGGAGCTGACGTCAGAGTAGGGAATACAATACAATATAGGTTTATATCTGATCCAGAAAAACAAAGCCAGAACATAATCCACAGACCTAAAAGAAATTAGACTAATCAGACAAGATCATCAAGAGCTGCTCCCAAGAAGGTCTTATCTAGCCAAAACTGTGTACATACTCTCTTTTCTCTGCTTCTTTCTCTCCTGGACATCCCCTATAAAAACCTTCTCTCAGCAAAGGTTCCAACCAACTCAGTCACACTCAGACACAAACAGCTGACCTAGTATTCCACTCAGAAGTGTGTGCATTTCATTACAAGTAGACGTGAGGAGCTCCCAGAGGGCAGAAAGGGATTTCAGGGACCTTCTCAGAGTCACATTATGCATCTGTTCCTAAGGAAACATTTATCACACACCTGCTCTGTGGCAGGACAGTAGCTGGCTTCTTTAGGCAACAGCAGATAGTTCATCTACTATGAAACACACAAAGCCTGAAGGGAAGCATGCTTGATACAGTCCATTTGTCCCTCCAGATGCTCTGACCACCCTTTTCCACCCAGCCCTGTTGCCCAGGAGGCGGGCCTTTGAGGACTGCATCAAGGGCTTTTCATTTTCCGTCTTGGGTTGGCTTCAGCTAAAGGAGTCAGCAGCAGGAGATGGCGGGGAGGAGCAAAGACAGGGCCAGGTCCTTATTTCCCTGCTCCCTCCCTGCCTGGGTGCTGGTCGGCAGTGGCTGTGTCCTTCTAACAAAGATCCTGGCTCCCTATAAGGGCATCCTCTTGTGTAGCTACAGCCACAGCTTTAGCTATCGCTCTCTCTGACATCTGTACCTGTTTCCCCTGAAGGTGCCCCTAGAGGGGCTAAAAGCTCCATGCTGGCGCTCCCCCATTCCAAGGTGGGTAGAGTCTTCTCACTGACCTTTCCATAACCGCCCCTTTCTAACGGACACCAGTTGCAAAGCCAGCACTGCTCTCAGGTCAGAAACTGACTCTGGGTACCAGCTTCATTTTTAAGCTCCAAGGACTTAGGAGGGATAGAAGGACTAAAGAACATTCTATAAATGATGTTTCCTCTCAGAATAAGCAGTGACTCACCTCCAAATAGAACAAAACTCAGGGCTGTGACTGGAGTGACCTCAGCCCCTTGTTCAGAGAAGGAAAGCCTCTGAACGGCCATGGCTTACCTTTCTGTGTTCAGTGGAGGGCTGTGGGCAGACGAGCTGGAATCCAAGCAGCAGGAGGGAACCCAGGACACTGAGAAGGAAACATAGCAACAGGCAGGCTGTGAGTTTGTTCCAGGCAGCAGCATCCAGCGGAAGGCAGCATCTCCGTCCCATCATTGGAAGGGCGAGAACAGTCCAACCCTGGCCCTGGGATGTGACCCAGTGAAGATGCAAAGTGCTGGCCCCCGGGAGGGGAGGCAGCCCAGGGCTGTGGGCTGGCCACGGCATGGGGCAGATCTGGGATCAAACCCAGCTTTACTGCTTGCCAGCAGGGTTTCTAGATCAGAACATTCAACCTCTGTGAGCCTCAGTCTCCTGCCTTGTAAGATGGGGATCACAGAAGCTGGCTCAGAGGTTTGGCGAGGACTGAATTAGATAAGACACCGTGCCTGTCCCAAAGTAAGTGCCAGTGCATGCGTGCTTCTTGGGGAGCTGGTAAGTCAGGCTAAAAGTGGGGCTTCTGAGCCTGGCCAGGGAAGGCCCTCTCCTACACCCCAGGCTTTCCTCAGAACCTTTCCTCTGCCTGTCCGTGGCCCTTCAGTGTCACATATGTTCTCCATGGGCGGGATTAGCTGTGTTAAGCCCCACTGTCACCAGCCCTGATTAGGGCTTGTCATCAAATAAAAGGAAGGTGTGGAAATAGGAGCCAGCTGGCCCCGAGACAGCAGGGTGTGCTGGGAGAGTGTGAAGTTTTGGATTCAAACACATCTAGGCTAGAATCCCAACTCCCCCATTCCCATCTGGGTGATCCTGGGTAAGCCAAGGTCTCTGAGTCTCAGTGTTCTCATCTGTAAGGATCATGGATGATGACAGAGGGGAAAACCCCCAGCAGGTTAGTCAGTCAGAGGAGAGGCAAGTATTGTCAATTAATCAAAATGCCTAAAGTCCCTTGATTTCAAATCATCAACAGCGTTGTCTTAAGCATCCCTGCAAAAGGGCCACTGCTTCTGCTTACTTATCTTTTGAATCCTTTTGGGGGTCTAACCCTGAGGGCAGTTTAACTCAGTGATTCTCAACCTTTTTGAAGCCTCCAAAATAATTGCAAGATATGAAACACGGCCCCTGTCCAAGAAAAACTCATCATGTGGAGCTGGAGATGAGGAAAACCTGTCTGAATCTGGCATTAGGGCTTGTGGAGTTAGAAAAGGCTCTCGCCGTCTCTGAGTGTCCCAAATTCCACCCTAACCCTCATTTTGTATGAAAATGAGCCCAGCCCTAGCAGACTGCACAGAATGGATGTGGACAGACTGGTGGAGACTGTGTGATGGGACAAGAAGCAGGACAAAAGGACATGGAAGGAGGTGTTAAATACATCCTTTTTGTTGTCTTAGAGTTGCAGCTGAGGCCCCAAAGCTGAGGACCAAGGGTATTACATATGCACACATTCCAAAGAGAAGGGCTGCACTGTCTATTTAGGACCTGAAAAGGAGGTGTCCCCGACTGCCCTCACCTGCGTCCTGAGCCGTAGGCCTTCACCCGCCTCCAGCCTGTACAAGCAGTGGGGAGTGGGTTGGAGAATGGGAGAAGTTTGCTAGGTGTGGATTTCTTTCAAGAGGGATGCAGGAGTGCTGAGCACAGTGCCTCCAGTCCCCTATGGGGAGGAAAATCAGAGCTCCCTCCCCGACCAAGCAAGGAGAGCAACCATTCAGAGAGCTTGATCTGGAGGCCCAGTGTTTGGGGTGTAAGGACTGGTGCCTGATTCTCCCCTGAAAAGTATCTAAAAGCCAAAACTTGGCTGGAGGGTCTGGGAGGGCAGAGTGGAGACAGCAGGCTGGAGTGGGAGTAGCCTGTGTTTCTAGGGCTTGCAGGGGCAGGAGGTGCTGGGTTTTTCCCATGAGCTACGTGGGTACCATGGAAAGCTGGACTTAGGTTGTCTAGCAAGGACCTCATCAAAGAAGATTGCTCACCAGGGTTAGGTGACCCCAAAAGACAGGTGATGTGTGGTGTGTACCTGTGGAGTACAGGAGGTGGGGGGAGGGTCATAAGGTGATGTGCAGAGGAGACCCCCAGTGAGGCAGAGGTTCTCCAAAGGACCAACCAAAGTGCCCTGAGAGAGGAGAATCCAGAACTCAGACATCTGCCAACAAGGACAGCACCACCAGATTACAAAGAGCACCAATCCTATCGAGATCCTCTTTGCCCAGTGACCTCTCCTCTGCTCCATCCTGGAGGAATTAACAAGGCAGGGTGGGCAGGGAGGGGAACTAAGAGTGTGAAGGAGCCAGCCAAGCCCTCTCGTCCCCACTACAGGCCCAGCCCAGGGGAGGAAAGAAGCTTTAAGTTGGATGAGAGACTGAAATTTTTATATCTGACTAGACTTTCTTTTAATGTACCATATCTATACACAAAATCCTTTCAAGGAAAATAGATAATATGAAATTAGTGGTGAAAAGAATCAAAGAATTGGTTTATAACTTGAAGAGGATCTAGGCCAGTGCTGTCCAATAGAAGTTTCTCTGATGATGAAAATGTTCTATTTCCATACCGTTCAATGCAGAGACACAGATCTGTGCTAAGCACACAAGGCGCTAAGGGTGCAGGTCTAGATGGTGACGTTACTGATGTCTGAGGTTAATACTAAAAGGACAGGCATTCAATCAACAAAGCTATCCCCTCCCATGGACACCTTTTTTGGACTTTTTGATACTTGAAAACAAGACTGCTCATTAAACTTACAATAGACCAGAAAACTGCCCAAGAGTCTTGCAGGGATGGGGCAGGGCATCCAAAGAAGTGGGTTGAACACAGTGGTGGGAAAAGAATAGTTATTTTCTAGTTATATCCTTACTGAATCCAATTTGTCCTCTAAACCAAGTAACATGCGCATCACAACCTAGGAGTCTACGCTCCTTGGTTACATGACCTTTGGCAAATCACCTTGTGCCTCAGTTTCCTCATCTGTAAAATGAGAATAATATAACCTGGCCTGTCTACCTCAAATGAGTTAATGTGCAAGAAAGCACATTATGAACCTGTGCCTGAAAACCTGGATCATTTGTAACACATTCTGGCACTGTTTACTCATTTAAAAAGAACACCAGGTTGGTATGGTTTTGTTAAGAAAACAAACAGCAGCTCCATAATTGTGTTACACCTCAGCTCCTCAAAGTTGCTGGCACACGCCTCAGCCACATACTTGTAATGCAATCAGGAACAGTTTTGCAGAACCACTCATCCCAGGTTGTGCTTCCATAACACGCAGGGGAACTTGGGGAGGGAGGGGGAGCGGAAGATCGGAGGAGGGAAGATTCTGGGTTTTCCTCTGAGAGGAACCGCATTCCAGGATGCCTGGTCAACTCTACTCCCAGGAATGTCTACGCCTCCTTCCCTCTCTCCTTCAGGTGTCTGCCCAAAGCTGTCTCTTCACCTAAGGCTTCCCTGACGCTATATAAACCAGGCTCCCTCTCCCAGCCCAGCCTATTTCTTTTTCTCCACAGCATCACCATCACACATACCGCGTCCTTATTCATTTAAATTTCTCCCTCTGTCCACTAGGATACGAGCTCCATGAGATCATGTTTTGTCACTACTTTATCCCCAAGCCCTAGCAGAGTATCTGCTTTATAGTCCGAACCTAATTCACTGAATTAATGAATGATGCTTCATCATCTTATGACCCATGTAATTTCAAGATAAGTGGAAATATTGTGAATTAACACATTAAAAAATGGCCAAAGTCACTTTAGGAGTGATTTATGAGTGATTTATAAAAATGAGTTATGCTTTTATGAGTGATTTATAAAAATCAGTTGTGCTTTTGAGTTTCTATGTGATTCCCCCAAAATTTGTTTTCACAGGATTTATACAAGGTCTGGCAGCAAAATGTTTGTTGGTGCCTCTTGTTGCAAAAATGCAACACAAGTTATATTTACATGTTCAAAAGATTCTTTTCTTCACTGAGTTGGGCCCTAGCGAAGTTAAAATGCATAGGGGTACCCAATAAAATTCATTGTGGAATAAAATCTTAGTTATTAAATGGGCTCTGCTCTGAACGGAATAGAATAAATTCCCCCAGAGGGGAAATCATTCTTTGGGCTGCAATAACAGCAGCCAGAGCAATATATAACCCCAGGGGCCAGATGAAACTCTGCCAAGGGCTGAAAGTTTGCCACCCCTGCTCAGTAGACTCTGTTTTAGGATACCCCACCCTGCTCACACATACCTATCTGATTGGTAGTCTGTAGCCGTGCCCACACCTCTTCAAAACACTGACAATCTAGCCCAAATCCTTGTTCCTCCTGACCCAATTCAAAATTAATGTTTGGGGAATAGGAGAGCATATGTGTGTCTGTGTGTGTGCGACTCGTGTGTTATTTCACTTTGATAGTTTGCTTTGGCAAACTGCTCTCAGCTTGCAACGTTTTGACAGATTGAAGGCTACCAGGGCTTTTGGCAAACAAATCATACACTCCCCTCCAGGCAGTGGGGAAGCCACATTCCTACCAAGACTTTCCGAATCACCTTGCAGTAGAAACAACCCAACATCTCACACCAGTCAGGAAAAAAAAAAGTTATGCCATTTACCAAGCACTGTTCTAGATTTTAAACACTCCATCATTTCATTTCCTCATGTAGAAAACAATGCTCGTTGAAATTCAGTACAAGATTTACATCATGGAACTGGGCTCTGGGTTTGCCTTAGCCAAGCCCTCCCCACCCCCACCTCCACCCTTCCTCAACTGCAGTGAGGGTGGATCGTGTCACAGCCGCTGTGTACCTTGGATCAGCTCAGCAAACTCAACAACACTGGAGCATATCAAGTAACAAAACAAGGAAAACAGCAAAAAAAAAAAAACTTTACTACTTTTCTTCTTCAGTTAATACAATCCAAGAGATATTTTGGGAGCAGCCTGATCACTAGTAAAATTATACCAACCTTAGCAAAAGAGAGGCAAAATCTTAGCATTGAAGCGAAATCTCAACCTACAGCGCTCTGGAGATCAAAAATTTTTGCTAAGCATGCATTTTACCCTGTTCAGCTCAACCCTCTGCCTTCCTCTGACAGCAGCTAAGAGAAAAGGCAGCAAGAGA